AAGAAAAACTTTAATACAACAGCAAATGTACAACGTTTCGACAAGGTTTTGTCATCATCAGGTACTGATGATGACAAAACATTTGCTGTTGTATTAAAGTTTTTCTTCATTACCCATTCAAGCCGTCTCCAGCCATTATAAACCACTGGTGGTTCTATCTTTGGTGATCCTCTGGAAGTGGTCTGAGTAAGAATCCTGGGCTCTTCAGCATTTTGACATTCACTGGCAAAAACCTTCTCTGAAGCTACAAAGTTTGCTGTTCTCTCACTAAAGATGATCATGGCAGATGACTTTTGGCTTTTACTGCCTGTTATTTATTCTGTAAACCACATCATTGATTATTTTCACTATATCATATGGTCCTTCCCAACACTTGCTTTACAATAAGAGTTTGTGCTTTCTTGCAGCAGGGGTTATACAGCCACACTGTGTCACCTTCATGGAATCCAATCTAATCAGTATTAACATCACAGCAACTTTTTTTTATTACTAGTTGACTGAAGTCGTTTGTGGGTAAAATCATGTATGACATCAGTGGTGTTCCTTATTCCAAAACATACATACTTCTTCTCACACTACAGCTATTACTCAACTGGTAGGGTGTCTTCATTTGCCCATCTAACCATTGGTCTGATTTTTACTTGCTTGCTCCAGTCTTTTATTCCCCACTTAATTGCCCTTGGTGATATCTGTCTTATGACACTCTCCACCTACATCAATGCACCCTCTACCTTGGTACTGTATATAAGCACCTTTTTCTGATAATATTATCACTTTTTCTCGACAAAGCGTTCATTAACATATTTTCTCTTTACTACGACCATTGGAGATATTTTGAGTGTTCTTCCTGTTACCTAGTTGATTTTCGTAATAAAAATAAATCGTTTTTTTCATTTGCCATGCTTATAGATGGCATGAACTCCCAGATTATTGTTTCTGACATGGGGGCAAATCAGATCTTTCCTCTCCCTCATATGATATCTTTGTTTGTTTGTGTGTGTAGTACACAATGGGATATCTGTGCTCTGCCCACCACAGGTATCAAAACCCAGTGTCTAGTGTTGTAAGTATGCAGACATACTGCTGTGCCACTGGGGGGACCAGCTGAAACCTAGCATTGATCAACAGTTGGGGAGGGGGGGGTCACTTTCAGTTGAGACTGATTCACTTTTTCCTGTGCCTTCCTTTATTCCATTAGCTTCTCAGGAGGCCACATTCGGATAAGTTGCCTCAAGCTTCTTGGTTGCTTTTGAGCCTGCTTGAGATCTGAGGGCACATACTTAGTTCTCTCTCCATCCACTGATATTGCAGTTCATGCAGAGAGGTTTAGTGCCATGTTATTCTAGGTGGATGCATATTCTGACACACAAAGAATAGACCTACTCCTGGAGATTTTTTATTCTAGAACGGAGTCTGTAGTCAACCTGAATATATCACAATTCTCTAGGATTCGTCTCACTTTATATACAGTGCTAAGATATTTATTATCCCTCCAACTTTTGTCGGCAGAATCAATGATCATCACATCAATTTGATGATGAGTTGGGACTGTTGTTAGTGTCAGGATTTGTGAGGTAGAGATGCATTGTTGGAGGGCATTCTCCTACCGGCTGCCACCTTCCATGAGTTCAGTGAGGTCCCCCCCCTTTCTCCTATCCCTGCTTTTTGTTGCCATTATAGCGTCTTTGGTATCAAGGATTGATGTCGCATGTCTGCAGTCATCTCTGTCATTGTTGATGTCCTAACCTTCCTCGGCTCCTATGGGAGGTCATAGTTCTGCC